TAATAACTTTATTGTCATTGTATGTGTATACACAGTATACCATACAATGAAATTCACTTAACACCCAAAGACCAGGTCCAACACACATAACAATCCCCAACACACTCCCACCCAGCACAATTCCCCACCCTAAACCACCCAAACATCCACACAACAGACCAAGTAATACTGTCCAACAGCTCACTGATGGCGGCCCTTTAGTTCATTGTTGAGTGCAATTATAGCTCTGGGATAAAAACTATTCAGAAAACGTGTGGTCTGAGTTTTAATTGTTCCGTATCTTCTGCCAGAAGGCAACAGTCCAAAAAGATTGTAAGCAGGATGGGAAGATAGATCATAACAAACAGAAAACCTTATGCTCCTAATTTCAAACATCACTTATTAGCACTAAAACAATAAAATAGGTAGTTGCAATAACAGTTTTATTCAGTAATAAAAATAAGAAAAGCAGAGAGTGCTAAACCCAGTGCAGTAGAACAATCTTCATCCCAATGTCTTTTTAAAAATTATGACTTTTGCCATCTCCTGCATGTCCATCACGGAAAAATCAAATGTGATATCTCTTCAACATTAATTCCAAAGCGAGATAAAGCCATTGAAACCGCTAGATGTGATAATAATAATAGCCTTTGTTTTCATTGTACATCATGTATACAATGAAATTGGTTTAGCCTCTACTGGTGCAATCCATAAAAGAGATCCTAAAAGCCACTACAGGAAGAGTTCAGAAAAATGACTGTTTTTCACATAAGAAGCAAAAAATCACTGAAATGCAGTTGGCAGGTAGAGAGCTTAGAGCAGTTTTCAAACTTGGCCATTTTAAATTATAGGGACTTCTAGAATTCCTTAGCCCAGTGGTGGGCTGCTGTCGGTTCGGACCAGTTAGAGCGAACCGGTAGTTCTGACCAGCCCACCCGCTCTGGTGCTATCACATCCTATATAATCGCCTGTTTTTCGATGCCGCGTGCTCACATTTTTGGTTCCAGGTGTTACAGTATGTGACGCCCACCTCTGCCCTACCCAGTATCCTGAAGTTGAAGTTGACATGTCCTAAAGTTGCCAAATTTGAAAAACACTGGCTTAGCATATTCTAGAACTAGGGTACAGTTTTGGAAGCAAAATTAATTAATTATCTCTAATAATGTGCTAGCTACTTTAAGACTGTCTGCTTCAGTCTTGTTTCAAGACTTGTATACCCTGTTTCCCCCCAAAAAAGACATCCCCTGATAATAAGCCCAATCGGGCTTTTGAGCGCATGGCAATAAGGCCAAGTACTTATTTCAGTGTTCAAAAAAATATAAGACAGGGTCTTATTTTCGAGGTATTTGTAGGTAAAACCAATTACAAAAGTCAGTTAGTCAAGAAAGAAGAAGAAGAGGAGGAGGAGAAGAAGAAGGAGGAGAAGAAGGAGGAGAAGAAAAAAGGGAGAGAAAGGGAGAGAAAAAGGAGAAGTGGGTAAGGAAAAGGAGAAAGGGAAGGGGAACGGGAAGAAGAAGAAGAAGAAGAAGAAGAAGAAGAAGAAGAAGAAGAAGAAGAAGAAGAAGAAGAAGAAGAAGAAGAAGAAGAAGAAGAAGAAGAAGAAGAAGAAGTAGTAGTAGTAGTAGTAGTAGTAGTAGTAGTAGTAGTACAGGAACTTGTCACCTCTGGAACTGGGGAGGCAAATTCATATATGCTGAAATTCAGAACATGTTAGTACAGGAGCCAGGATAATATCTTCCCACACATTTGTATGCAAGAGAAACAGTAACATATCTCACTTAAACATGGCTTGTGCTACTATCACATATCCCTAAAAGGCCTATTCAAAAGCAAGTCCCACCAAATTCAGTCAGACCTACTCTGAGAAAAGGCTATAAGACTAAAACCACAGAGAAATGACAAGAGGAATGTGCCAGTCCTTATAAACTTAGATTCGAGCAATAAAACAGCCTAAATGTATAAACCTATAAACCTATTTTTAAACATAGTGGTAAAAAAATGAATGGTTTTTTTTTTTTTAAAAAAAGTCATCTGTAAACATAGTAATCTCACTTTTGTACACATCCTTTAAAAAGAGAGATTAATTTTTATTTCATTAAAAAATAGCTACAATTTCCTAGGAAGAATGAATTTAACTTAATTGGCTCTGAGAATTTATAAAAGGGAGGTTGATGAATTGGAGTAAGGGGAATTAAAGAACGTGTGGAAGTTTTGAACTTTATAGTTAGTTAGTTTATTTTAGCATATGTTTGTTAGAAGCTATACCCTGTTTTTGCTCTGGGAAGTCGGGGGTGGTGGTGGGAAGGATGGGATAAGGGTTGGGGTGGGATAAAAGTGTTGAATAGAGAAATGTTTTAACAGAAAAGTAAATGTGGGGGAAATGTATAAATAATGAAATGGCAATATTAAGAATGACAGTTATTGGAGGAGTAAGATGCAAAAAGAAAGATGTATTCAGATGATATATTAATTGACTGACTTTATATTGTATGTTTGTTTGAATGTTTATGATAATGCCGATAGATAGAATAAATCTGAAAAGAAATTGAAAGAAAGTATTTACGATTAGAATACAGGAGTTGCTCAGATACTAAAGGAGGAGAATATTCCACAGCAAAGACGTTAGAAAGGAGAGAGGAGGAGAGGGTAGAAAGGAGAGGGAGGGAGAGGAATGGAAGAAAGGAGAGGAGGAAGGGAAGGGGACAGGAGTAGGAGTGAAGGTGAGAAGGGGGGAAAGAAGAGAGAAGTGGGGGAAAGGGAAAGGAAGTAGGATGAGGTAGGAGAGGAGGAAGGAGAAAGTAGGAGAGAAGAGGAGGGAGGGAAGGGAAAGAAAGGAGGAGAAGAAGGTTTGTTGTGGAATGAGGGAAGAAAGAGAAGAAGAGCAACTCCGAATGTAATTAAAATGTCTTATTTTAATGCTTTCTTTAAGGGAAACATGTATATGTAGGATTTACTATGTATAAGAAAATGTACATTTTCTATTATGTGGGGAGTGGGAAAGGGTGGGGGGGGAGAAAATTGTTTGTATTTCTTATAAAACTTTTCAATAAAAAAAAAGATAAATAGAGATGCAGATATATACAGATAGAGATAGATATGTACCGTAGAAAGAGAGATGATAGGAGATAGATGATAGATAGATAGATAGATAGATAGATAGATAGATGATAGATAGATAGATAAATAGATAGATAGATAGATGGTAGGTAGTAGGTAGTAGATGGTAGGTATAGATGATAGATTAGAGGTGCTTAGATTAGACATGAACTTTTTATCGATTTTATACGTGTTGGCATTAGTATACTACAATAAACATGTTGTAACAATAAATTCAAAAAAAAAAATAGCTACAATTTTAGGAGCCTGCTACTACAGGCAGAGTGAGTGTGAAATATGAATTGGGAGACAGGGAATGATACCAGTGGTGAGATTCAATTTTTTTTACTACTGGTTCTGTGGGCATGGCTTGGTGTGCGTGACAATGCTTGGTGGGCGTGGCTTGGTGAGTGTGGTGGGGAAGGATACTGCAAAATCCCCATTTCCTCCCAATCAGCTGGGACACGGGAGGCAGAGAATAGATGGGGGCAGGGTCATTCAGAGGTGGTATTTACCAGTTCTCTGAACTACTCAAAATTTCCACTACCGGTTCTCCAGAACCGGTCAGAACCTGCTGAATACCACCTCTGAAATGATACTGTTTAGCATAGAAAGCCACCCAAAGTCTAATGGAGTTGGGCAGCTTCTAAATCAGGGGTCTCCAAACTTGGCAACTTTAAGCCTGGCGGACTTCAACTCCCAGAATTGGGGAATTCTGGGAGTTGAAGTCCTCCAGGCTTAAAGTTGCCAAGGTTGGAGAACCCTGTTCTAAATCACATGAATGAAGCAAGCAAGCAAGAAAGCAGGCAGGCAGGCAGGCAGTGTCTCTAAATAAAAAAAAAACACACACACACAAAGCAAGTTTACAGCAAGTTTACAGCAAGTTAACTAAACCATAACTCAAATTAAACCTTTACTGTTGTAATGTGTTGTAGCAAGTGATGAACTAGGATGATTTAGTTATCAGATTTGCACACTGTTTAAATATATGAAGAGCACTCAGTTCCAAAATTGTTTTACATTTAAATCAATTCACCTTGATTCTAATATTTTATTTCATCATCCTAGATTCTGGAAACTTTTACAGGAAAGGCACCTTAAAGATAATCTGCAATATTAGCCATTATCATATCTATCATTATAATACTGTATTTGATACATATGCCATCATAAATATGAACTTTGCAATTATAGAAATAGAATGTACCAGTATTATTGATTCTGTGCAGCCCTAAGTGTATCAGGTATTTTTCTATAAATTCTTAATATGTACATCATGCATGGAAAAACAGAGAAAGTTTCCCAGATTATTTTGCAGTATAAAAACAGGGTCATGAACAGTTGTAATATCTCTTATAAAAGGAACCAGAAGATTTTTGCCTGTGTAACTTTTGGGGCAGCAATTACATAATATATATTTTAGCATGATTCCAGTATAAGGGCTTATTTACATTTTGAAACCCCATTTTTATATAACTTTCACATATATTCCCAGAGACATAATGTATATATGTGCCTTGGAAGTTGCATGCAGCCAGTGGGTTGTCCACTACTAGAATAATCATATATGTTAATTGGTATATTTCAGCTCAATGAATTGTAGCTAAAATATATCTCTACTTAATGCATCTATTAGCCATTGTGATATTAAGACCTTACACATTTAAGAGCAAATGCACAATTTTTTTTAAAAAAGAAGTCACTTTAGTCATGAATGGTTGAGACCAAAGAATTAGTGCAGAGGAAAAGTTATCACCTTTCTCGATACCACCTTCTTTGCTTTGTTAGGTTCCTCCAAATATATACTGTTTGGATTAAACAGGAAAGCTAGTCACCAAAATTATATTCACACAATGTTATTTGGAATGAATCATCTAAAAAGAAAACTATACAAAAAGCGGTTGAACTGATATAAACTAACTTACCTTGAAACAACCAGAGGCAGAATCAACATCTTCAACATTCTCATCAATAATTCTCCAGGAAATTGGAAATAACTAATTTCCTAAAGAAATAAGGAAATGGATGAATTGATTTTTTTAAAAAAAAGCATTTATCTCAAAATAGTGTTAAGATGCTTTGATATCTACATTATTAATTTCTTCTTCATTACAACAGCATAAGAAACAAAGAATAGAATGATGAGAAAATGAACATATATAGAGGGTATTAATAATTGGCTTTCTTTGAAATGGTGATTTTAATACTCCTTGGATTCTCAGATGAATGATATATTTAGTATAAAAATGATGAATCTAGGAAAGAGTTTAGTTTAGCTATTGTTAGGGATGGGGAGTACTAAATTCACTGACCACCAGACTTATCTGTCTATATCTCTGTTAAAATGAACTGAAGCAATATAATTCATGAGATGACACCAGAAGCTTGAAGTACTCATATTTCTGCTTATCAAAAACTCATCAGGGATGAATGAAGCAGGTGTGAAATTCATAGTTTGGATGTTATAGAAGAATCTCTCCTATGCTTCTAGTTTTTCTTGCTGGTGGGACATGCCTCAGAAGTTGGCAAAGAACATAAATTATGAACACATTCATACGAGAAGCCCTGCTCATTCAGATACCTTGACCATATAACTTTTAAGGTTTTCTAGATCAAAACTGCAATATTCAAGAAACCTCCTCTTGTGTCTAGCTTTTCACAGTGTTAACCTCCCAAGTTATCTCTCCATTTCACATATCAACTTGAATGCAACTAGATCAGAGCTATACCAGCTTAATAGATGGCAAACCAGAAGAATCTCTATGCTGTCATGTTGCCTGCTTTCCTGATGTGTACCATACTAAACAATTCCCTTACAAAGTGAATGGATCCATGATGGATAATTGTGACTCTATTTTACTCACAACAGGGGAGACAAATTCATATTTCTCATCTTCAGCCAGCATCTTTGGGGCAAACATTGCACAACTTTTTGTCTTTGTTGTTTTAAAAACAGACAATTCCTATTATTTCTAAAAATAAGAAGAACCACCACCAAGAAATAAACCATTTCTAGCTAGCTTACCCAGCATGAAGTGTAAACTATGAAAATGGGTAAGGTGGGAGGAAACACAAACAGATGAATCCCTCAGGTTGTTCTAAAACATACTTTCTAAAATAAATTCATTGCTAATAAGTAAATAATAATAATGGAGAGCTTTCCCTAGAAATATGTTAAGATCAACAAAACTATTTTAAAATAAATGGCTTGTGGAATGTAAGTATGTTAAATAATAGAAAAGAACATACATTAGCTTCACTGGGAATAGTATATTCAGACATACCAGGAATTCACAACCATGCAAGTTTTTTTCTAAAAAAAGGTTCCTGCCATTTGAACATCTTCAGTATTTAACATTGTATACATTTCATTTTGCAGCGACTCAACTTTTCAACCATTTAAAAAAAACAAATAAACCTAGAGACAGCTTTTGTTTTCAGAACAAGATGTCTTGCAATATATCAATTTAGCAAAATGTCCTTCATGACAATTTCTGTTTTATTTTATGAATCCTTTGTTTCTCAATGATGCTACACCTGCTCAGATCACTAACCTGGGGAGAAAGACGCCTTGTCCTCAGAAAGAATCCAAGAAGACATCCCACTATGACAGATAACACTGAGAGAATGAGTAAACCATTCCTTTTGCAAACATCCTTGACCCGACCTAGCATTGTTTTGAAAGTCACAGCCATGGTGTCCTCAGTGATCTCCGGAGGGGAATCAGCATCCCATAGACACAGAGATCTTTTCAGCCTGTTGTGTTAGAATAGCAGGCATAGATTAGATGAAAGCATTTCTGGGACTGCTTAGCTGACATGCAAGGTCGCTCTTCTACCAGTAGCCACCAAGCATATATTTCCAAATTAATACTCACAATCCTATTAGTGACTACATCAATACGAACCTCAAGGAAGATTAAGAACTCTGGAAAATGAGAACAGAGTGGAGTGGTATTTTAGAAACCAGAGTAATATTGGAGCAAAGTGAAAATAAAATAATTGTGCATTGTTCAACTGTTATAGGATCCTCTATATTATAGAGGATCCTTGATAATGGTGGCATAGAGGAACGTGATGCACACAGTAGATATCTTCTGTTTTCATTCAAAGTGTAGGTGATTAACATTAGTTAACCACAAGATTAAACTTTAAGTAATGATGGCTTACTTTTCCCAATACCAGTACAAATAATCTGGAAATATTGGAAGCATATGGAAAAACATCTTGTCCCTGTCAACATTTTTTTCAGGAAAAACTTTTTTCCCCCAGTGAATTAAACTATATGCAATTGTATGGTTTATAAATGTATTATGTATAACTTGCTTTGATTATAAATGTATGTTTGATATATGCAATTTTAAAAATATAGTTTATTCAATTTACTAATGTATCTCTTTATTTTCATCTGCTAAATAGAACCAGCCAGCCAAAAAAATTGCAGTTGTAAACTAAAGAAACCACTGACATTGTAGCAAAATGAAACATTTTCTCTGCAATGTATCAAGTATAGAAAACATTTTTTTTTAAAAAAAGATGTGGGATCAAGGTTCAGAATACACATTTTGCTACATTAAATATTATTTAATGGCACTCATTTTCTAAATCACATGTGCTATCCTTCATCACTTCAATATTTTTGAAGAGTCACTTCCTTTGTCCGCTCTATTATGAATTGGATTATTTCTTGACTTTGATGTAATTTTTAAAAAGCATCTTAGCCATTATATTTATTTAATTCAACTTCAGTGCCTACCCAACTCAAGACCCAAATCCACACTTACCCTGGGCAGTTAGAAAATATAAAAGCACAACATAAATAAAACAAGATACATAAAAATGCAGAAAACAAATTAAATAAAATAGCAAACCAAGACAACTAAGATCAAAACAGATGCAACATATGACAAACATATATGACAAGGGATTCCATACATTCTACCTCAAGGCCTAGGAGAAAGCCATGTGTTTCCTTTTCTTTTTTTAACTTTAAATTAACATATTTCTTTTTTACCTCAGTTTTCCAATTTGAGAGGGGATCCTTGAAGGAGAGGAAACATTCTTGTTATATTTTTATTTTATTAATGAGTCATTTGATTGTGAGATGGGTGACTACATAAATATGACAAATACATAAACAATATCTACACCAATACTCCAGGGGCATTTAATATAAAAAGTGTACATTCATTAAAGTAAATATAAAAGAAAAACTAATATCTAAAAAAGATCCATGTAGTATCAACTTGGTATACTATATGATTAATTCATTCCTTAAATATCTAATTGAATGTAGATATTTTTCTTGAATGTTTCTAGCGATTGTGGTGACATCTTGAATCACTAATCATTTTATAGAGACAAGCCGATGAGCCAAAAATGTATTTAATAATTTGTGAATCACACACATACATTTGTTTTTTATACAAGGAAAGGAAGAATTTGCAAGGATTATCAGCTATTTACAAGGGCGTCAAACTGGTGGTCCACAGGCCGGATGCATCACATGCAGGCCATGCCCACCCCAGCTCCATGAAGGGGAAAAATGTCACGAAACATTACATGATGGCAACGTGACACCGCTAGTTGATACCCGTGAGCTATTAGGATATTCCTTCTTTCTTTAACAACTGTTAATACTGAAAACTCTTCTAAAAATAACTATTTACAAATTGTAAAAATATGTTGCCATCAAATGTTTTGCAAATTACAAAAATAATCTCATCTCTAAATATACTTTAAAGTAAAAGCAAAGGAATGGACATTGTACAAAATACCAGAAAATCTCAAGCATTATTATTTGAAGTGCTCATGAAAGTCATCTTAAAGATGGCTAGGATCCAGTGATTACGCTTATACTGATTTAATGATTATTTGGAAAGTTAATCAGCCAGAACAAGGGCAGGAAAAGAAACTGTAATGCTCAGTAAAAAGCTCTAGACAAATAAGCAGATAAAAAAAAACTCCACAATAAACTGACCTGGGAAAAATAGCACTGTCTATTGAAATGTACAACTACAGATGTTAGAGCAGGTGGCAGCAAGTAGCTGGTCTCAGAATGCTACTCAGAGCTGAATTTACTGAAGTGTTTTTTGGACAGGGAAGTGCCTGGTGATTCTAAAACTGTAATCTTGACTACAAAATAACAACAGCAACCACAATTGAGACACAGAAGCCAGCTGGGTGACTTTGGACCAATCACTCTTTCTCAGCCCAACTCACCTCACAGCACTGTTGTGGGGAAAATAGGAAGATTTATTCATAAAAATCATAAAACAAGGACAACGTGGTAAAAGGCAAAAGCAACCCATTTGTGGCTTGCTACCCAAAACCAACATGGATGTGACTGTGTAATCAACCTACCTAGGAGTTACTTTTAGGGAGCCTTTTTTTTTTTAATGCATGAATGCTGTTCTACATGCTACCTTTGTCATAAGTGTGGCATAAGCTGATCCTGAGTATATTTATTCAATGAAATGTTGTATTTTATTTAATACCCCTTCTTCTGATATACCTGTATTAAGTTGTAAACAAAACCAAATAGCTTTTTGATAATAACTTAAAAACAAAAAGCATATACATTTGATGGAAATTCGTTCCTTTGATCCTTCCATAGTACGTGTCCCAATTTGTTTGAGCAAACTAACAGATATCTCCTTCAAATGGTAGACTCCTCTCAGATTTCCTGTCTCTACAGGAAATCTGAGAGGAGATTGTGTTTATTATGGACAGAGACATAACAGTTACAGTTGTGTTTATTATGGACAGAGACAGATGCATAGGAATAACTGAATTTCTTTGCATTTTATAAAATGTATTGAAAGCTACAAAGTGACAAAAAGCACTATGATGTAAGTACTGCAAAACTGAAACAAACTAAATTGCTACCTCCCTATTTATTAACTTATGGTAGATTCTGTCCCAATGTGCTTGAAAAAAATGTCACCAAATAATTATTCAGTGCAACTCTTGGGGCAGCAAACACACATTTTTAAACATGATCTCCATACAAGGGATTTTCATATAATTGTTACATAGATGTTTAGAGGTATTTAGAGGCTGTATGCAACCTGTGGCTATTCACTACTGATATAATCATATATGTTAATTGATACAGTATTCAGTTCAATGAATTTCGGGGCAGTTTTGCATTCACTGTAAATACATGAAAGCAGTTGTGTTAAAAAGGAATTTATCACTTCAAGCATGCCAACAAACAAAGCTATACATTTATATAGCAAGAACTGAGTATTATCCATATATAGCTTGAAGGAGTGAAGTATGAATGCTCTTAAAACACATGTAAATCATAATTCTCACTTATAGATTGCTAAATGGTTATAAAGATGTCCAATACAATATATGCAAGACTTGAAATGAAATCAAAACCAAGAATATTTAAATGACTTTTAGGGCAATGCTAGTCCAGACTACAATATTCTTCTAAAAGGTTTCACTTAAGTCAAGTTTAACTCAATGGAACCTGTTCCTAGGAAAGGGTCCACACAGGACTGTGACATAAGAGTATCATCCCGTATTTACTTTTGTGGAAGTATCTCCTATCGAATTCCACAAAAATTGTGTTTTTTTTCTGCCATAGAAAAAGAGGGAGAAACTCGGTTTCCTTAGAGATTAAACTCGGTAGGACAATTAAAGAAGAAACACAAAGAAAGGAAAACGGAGAAAAATTTCGCATCCCAACACACTCTCTGCCCTCTGGTGTTTCTCTCGGCGATTGACAGGCCATTTAATTTCCCTATAGGCTGCTGCGAGCAGAATTCGTGCTTCTGTCAAGAAGGGGGGGAAAGGAAGAGCCGCCCTTTTTAATATATATAAACCTCTGCAACTCGGGTTACGAGGCTTTCTCTCCCCCCCCCCCGCCTGCTTTGATCTCAGAAGAAACGGGGAAACAACTTCTGCCTCGGTTTCTCGCCCCGACCAGTTAAACCAGCGTCTCCTGTTTGGCACCCTCCAGTCCAGGTGCCTCGGCCTAAAGCTCCTTGAAGGGCGCCTCAGGTTGGAAAACTGGAGCGGAGGGAAAAACTGCAAAATGCCCCGCCCATTTCTGACACTGGCTTGTACACTTTAGGGCGGGGGGGGGGAGAGGGAGGAGGAGGGTGTATCTCCAAACTTGGCAACTTTTAGACCAGACTCAGAATTCTCCTCAGCCACCCACAGCCTCCCTTCCGTTCTGGGAGTTGGAAGTCCACAAGTCTTAAAAGTGGCCAAGTTTGGAGAACTCTGGCTTTTTAGAGGGAACGCCAGTTGGGTGCTGTCACTTCGGAGAGATCATCGGCCGGTTTGTAGCTAAACGTCTATGGCGATTCTCAGTCATCCAGGTCCTGGTTGTCCCAAAGGTTCTTCTCTTCAGGAGGCAACTGGACTTTCTGTTTTTTCTTTGAAGACGTTTCGCTTCTCATCCAAGGAGCTTCTTCAGCTCTGACTGGATGGGTGTGTGTGTGGGGGGGGGGGGGAATTGAAGGATTTATACTCTTTGCACCCAGCTGGTCATTTACATTCTTTTAACTAATGTCTAGTTGCCTCTTGAAAAAGCACCTTTGGGACTCTAGTTTGTAGCGCAGAATCAGCGTGTCGTCTGAACGTTCGGGATCCGGACTGCCTTGCAAACTTTCACTAACTACGAGGAGTTAAACACAAAACAGCGCGTCACACACACACACATAAAGACTTAAAACCAGCAAAACACACACACACACACACACACAAAATGACTTAAAACCAGCAAAATACACACACACAAAATAATGACTTAAAACCAGCAAAACACACACACAAACACACACGACTTAAAACCAGCAACACACACACACACAAAATGACTTAAAACCAGCAAAACACACACACACACACACACACACACACAGACTTAAAACCAGTAACCCGGCCACTAAACCAGTCCAGAGGGCGCGATCTGCCTCTGGAGCCGTCCCACGTCTTCTTATGTGAAGTAAACTCCTCCCAGGGGCGGGCACCGGCGGGTGGCTCTCTCTCTCCTTTTCCGCCACCGGGAGGGAAGGTATCCAGACCGCCATGGTGACCGGGGCGCTGCTATTTTCTTCCTTCTCCCGTTTCCGGAGGGCTTGCCTCCCGCCTCTTCTCATCGGGCCCCGAAGAAGCTACAGCCAAGACGATGCGCTCTCCCAGTACTTGCACCGCAGCATCGTCCCCACTATGCATTATCAGAAGAGCCTGCCCCGGTAAGGAGCCTGGGGTGAAAGAGCAGTAGCGCTTGGTCTCTGGTCCCCGGGATTGTTGTCCTGTGGCCTTTCGGCTTCGATTCCCCACCACCACTAGCCAGCTTTGCTTGTTGGTGTCCTTCGATTGCCCTTCTGAAGTGGCCTTTGGTCCTCGCGTCCAATTCCCTCCCCCCTCTTTCAAATAGGAAGTTATGAGGCAAGTCAGTTCTCTCACTCGCTGGGTTTGGGGGAAGCCGCGAAAAAAGCTTGTACTTGAGTTGCACACGAAAGCTCCAATTATCCAAATATCCAATTAAGATTTCCTTAGAAATCCATTCCTATAGCACTTGGCACAAACTCTTCAAAGAGCAACCATCACCATGTCCCAAAAGGCAACTGGACTTTTCTTGACTTTTTTCTTCCCTTTGAAAACGTTTGCTTCTCATCCAATCTTTCCATTCCCCACCCGAGCTTCTTGGATGAGAAGAGAAACGTTTTCAAAGGAAAGGGGGGGGGAAAAACACCCCCAAGAAAGTCCAGTTGTCTCTTGGAAGAAGCACTCCTTTGGGTCTTCAAAGAGCACATAATTGGTTCCGTTCCATAACGGGTCTCTATGGGAAACAGGCTTATGGTTCGTAAGTGTCATGCTGGATAAGTGCAGTGATTTGATGAATGTCTTGCTTCGGGAATCAGGGAGCATTGACCAGTTGCCTTCTTAAGGTGAACTTGGAGAGGAGATAAATTTGGACAAATGGATTTAGCCATCATCTGAACTCTATAAGTGGGTCTTTTTGCTTCTGCCTTATCAGGAAGCCCCCACCCACCTTGTGGCTCATTCTATGGCCTGATATGTTGGGTGAGTGATGAGGATTGCCCTCCACTTTAGGAGGCAGCCTCTGTCACCCCACCTCATGGATCAGATAGTGTTGGGGAGTTCCCAATAGGAGAGTCCCTACTTTGATCCACTGCAGAGTTTGATTCATGGATGCAGAATATTGAAGAAAAGTGATCTGCCTACCAGCTGGGTGCCATTTTGCAGGGTAATATAGAAAAAATGTCTCCACCAATAGGTAAGTTGCTGTGCAGGATGGTGTAGTTACCTTCACCCTCTTCCCATGCAAACAGTTGACAGCAGCCAATAGGATCCCAGTCCCTAATGAGTCATCACCGTAATCCCTACTAAAATGCTGAATGTATATAGTAAAAGCCTTTGAACAAGATGGTACTTTGTAGAAATCCATAAGGAATACCTCTTTGCAGAACACTATTTGCCCGGAAATTAGTCATGTTTATGTTTTCTGAACTCAGTGATAAATGGAAAACTACACCTACATCATTTTTGAACCCAGATGTCTGATAGATTGCCAGAGACTCAAAACTGCATAGGATGCTAGTTCATCAGGGCAGTGGACATGTTCTGAGTCTTTCTTTCTTTCTTTTCTTTCTTTCTTTTATTAGATTTATATACTGCCCTACTCCCAAAGGACTCAGGGCGGTGAAGAGGCACAAAATAAAATACATAAATACAAAAGTTAAAAGATATAATTAAAACCAGATTAAATAATTTAGCCCAAGACAATTAAAAAATCCCAATAATTTAAAACAAATTAAAATTTCGATGTTTATCGATGAAATACTCATCGATGTTTCGATGAGTATTTGTGTGTTAGCTGTTTAATCCTCATTATGCAGTTTGGACATACATATATACATACATACATACATACATACATAGATACATACATTCTTGTTTAGTCATAGTCATAACATACCAATGATTTTCCTGCAGTTGTTAATAATCTGAGGCAGCAAGGTTAAACTTTTTTTTAACACACAGTACAGTCTGTATAATGTGTGACCTCAAAACAAAGATTTTAACTTGTCTTAATAGCTGTATTATGCTGATGCTAGGATATTCTGTGAACTCATGAGAGGGCAGGAATTGATTTTATTTTTACCCAATAAACTCTTGAGATACTAAGAGATAGTATGTTTCTCTTGTTTAATTCAACTCCAGATTAAGAGAATGTTCAGCAGTTGGATTGCTCACAAGACTAAGGTGAAATGTGAGTTATGGTAGTCTAAGTTACAGCACAACAAAGAGTTGTGTTAAGAGCTAAAAATGAGAAAGGGAAAATGCAAGAGCTTCATTGCAGTTGGTAATGAAAGAAGATCAGAATAAAATATGGTATGTAGGTGAAAGGGTAGTGCTAAAAGCAGGGCATGATTCTTATCACTGCTGTTCAGAGTTAAACATGTATACATTTTTAAAAATGTGTTGTGCCTTCAAGCCAGTTTTTGAATCCTGGCAGCTGCCTGGACTAGTCCCTGCAGTTTTCAAGAACTGACTCTATGTATCTTTATAATTGCTACTTAATGCCTTTGTACCTATTTGGTTGACTGTATGCATTGTTCGTTTCTAAATTGAGAGCCAGTTTGGTCTAGTGATTAAGGCACCAAGGTAGAAACCAGGAGACTGTGAGCTCTAGTCCTGCCTTAGGCCTGATGGCAGCTGGGTAACCTTGAGACAGTCACTCTTTCTCAGCCCTAAAAGAAGGCAATGACAAAACCACTTCCAAAAATGTTGCCAAGAAAATTTTAGGGACTAGTCCAGGCAGTCACCAAAAGAGTGAACAATGACTTGAAGAGGAAATTTTTAAAATCATCTTATTTAGGATTATTCTATTAAGGTCAAAGTGTACTATTTAGTTGTCTAAATAACAGTGAATTCAACCGTGCATACTTTGCACTTTTTTTTTATTGTTCCTGCTAAATGAGTAACCTACATATAGGTTACAGTGGCAAAAGAGATGAGAGTTCATCCAATATGCCTTAAATATTAACTTAAATGTTGATCCGGAAGCATTTGAGCCAGGTATACAGTATTCATTCCCTTCCTCCTATTTTCCATTCCCCAGTTGTTAATATGCAACAGTTTTTGATTAATTACCAGGCTCAATGCTCACTGGTTTATTTGGGGGATTGGAGTTTATTTATGCATTGTACTTCTGCAGAAATATCGATATAATTGTTTTAAATCTGGAGAGCATTTTTCCATGAAACAATTTCTTTATTATAGGTTCTGGTTAATAGAATATCACTTTAATTTTGTTTCTGCATTAATTTGCTTATTTCAAAATAGTTGAATGCTTGATATAAAAATGTATTTACTTAAATTTTAGCTAAAGCTTAATCTACCTGAGAGTATTATTAATAAATTATGCTTAGATATAAGTTATAGTGTCAGAGCTATTTTGGGGCTTGACCTTAAAAATTGCTTGACCATTTAATCTATCAGCATGTTTTTCTTGAGAGTTTGTGATAACATTTTTTAACCTCATAGACTCAATATTTTATTCCTCTTATTAGCTTGCCCATTCCAAAACTTGAAGATACAATTAGAAGATACCTGAATGCTCAGAAACCTCTTTTGGATGATGATCAATTCAGGTAGGAACAAGCTTCCATCTCTCTGATATCTTGTCCAGGTACCTTTCTCAGCCTGGTTGCCCTGAAGATGTGCTGCATTTTAGCTCCCATTCTCCTGACTATTGTTTGCGCTGACTGTATTAATCTAGGCCAGGGTTGTCAAACTCGATTTCATTGAGGGCCGCATCAGAGTTGTGTTTGACCTCGAGGGGCTGGAGGGGACGATAACCAGTGGTATGGCCATGGTCGGTGTGGCCAGCTCAATGTCACTCATCGAGGCTCTGTTTTCAGCCACGCCAACCTCCTGCAGTTCTCTGCCAGCAAAAGTGGAGCTCAGGGAGGCTGCACATAGCTTGCCCGGGCTCCTTTTCAGCCGTGACAGCCTCCTGCAGCCCTCTGCCAGCGAAAACAGAGCTCCCCAAGCTCCATTTTGGCTGGCAGAAACACCACAGGCCAGTCCTTCATTGTTTCCAGGACAGCCCCGGGCCAGATCTAAACCCCCATGGGCCAGATATGGCCTGTGGGCCTTGAGTTTGACATCTCTGACCTAGGCAGTCTCAGGAAAATCTTCTAGATAACACTGAAGGAAACTTCTCTTCCCTTTGCATTTCAGAACAGTTAACTCAAATGCAAATAGCAATAGCACTTATATACCACCCCATAGTGCTTTACAGCACTCTGTGGGTGGTTTACAATGTCAGCATATTGTCCCCAACAAACTGGGTTTTCATTTTACCGACTGGAAGGTAGGAAGGCTGAGTCAACATTGATCAAATTCCAGGCTGTGGGCAGAGCTTGCCTGCAATGCTGCATTCTAACCATTGTGCTACCAGGGTTCCTGCAACGTGGAAGTGATGATACTTTTTAATACATAGGTAGGAATTTCACAGGGATACGTGAGGAAGGGTCACACCTACTGGACAGACCAGATCAGAAAAACAATTCCACCAGGAGGCTAAAACCACATTTATTGAAATTGGCCATAGTAACAGACTCTAGCAAATCTGCTTTTGTTATTCCTGTTCCTTATACAAGTGAATTAGAGAGACATCTGGCTGAGCCTTTTTGAAATGTCATCTCATGGTACTGGATTTAAAACATGTTTTAGCCCTTTTTGCCTAGGTAATGGTTCTTGCATATCATAGTCAAGGTCATCTTCTTTATTCTGTACAATAAGGTTAGCAGAGCCTTATTATTCAGCAGCATACTTCACATTTTCACCCAAAGAACTGTATATATCAGAGAGATACACTAAATTTCTTTCTCTGTTTCTTTTTTAAATTTAGGAAAACCGAACGACTTGCTGGCAATTTTGAGAATGGCATTGGTAGAGAATTGCATGATCATTTGATTGCAAAGGACAAACAAAATAAACATACAAGTTATATTTCAGGTAGGAAAATGATCGTGAAATGTTGCTTACATTCCTGATGTCTTTTCCTCAAACTGCTCAATTAAGAATCCGTTTTAACCTGGCAGGATCTTCCTTTTCATTAACTGGACTGAGGCCACAGGTCCAGAACTGGCTTTGATGCTTGTTTACACCTTTGAACGGTTAACATTTCCTTTAAGCGTGTGCATGAAATGGAAAGTATGCTTCCTTTAAACCAGGAACAAATTTGTGTGTTCTAAATATTTTGTTGAACCCTTTCAGTTCATCCACAGTTCAACAAAACCAACAGCTGAACTGTTTTGGTTGTTCCATGTTTCAAGACAAAACTAAACCTGGAGTGATTTTGTGCAGTGAATAGGCCAAAGCTGTACAGATTACCTCTTCTCTCCATTCCTTGCCTTAGTAGCTCACAGCATGCCATATTCCTCTGGTATGCCCCATTTCCCCTTCTCTCCCTCCCTCCTTCTCTCCTTCCACGCACTGCATAACCTATCTTGCTATCTACCCACTCTCGTCTTCCCAGTGTCTTTTCTCCCCACACCACTGATGTCCTTGGATGTTCTGGACTGTTACCTCCTCTAACCACTTCTACACAGAAAATTATATTTATAGCCTGGCCATAACATTCAAAGCATTCATCTCAGTTTGGATTATCAGAAACATCTGTTCCACACATGGAATTTGTTGTCAAAGCTGAATGTGTGTCCTCAGAAAGATTGGGTTGGAATTAGTCTTAAGCTGCAAGCCTGGACCCTCAGAATAATTTCCAAGAGGACCTATAAGATACATTAGATTTCTTCTTCTGAATTTAGAGAATGGAAGAGAATACAATGGATTGATAGAACAAGCATCTCTTTTCCATATAGAATGTGCCAGGTTCAACTCTTAGCAACTTTAGGAGGAAAGTAGGGTGATCTAATTGCAATGCAATTACCTTGAATTCCTTTCAAGTAGTGAAAGAGGAAATGTGAAGGAAAGTTTTTTTGCTGCTGATAAAAAGATGTTTTATAGGTTATAGCAATGATTTTTAAAGTGGAGGGAATTTGGGCATAGTTTGGGGCTAGTGGAGCAATTTGTAAGTGCTTGGGAGTTGAGAATTCAGGTTGCTGCTGCAGAGATGCTTGTATAAAACAGCAGAACCTTGGCTTTGTGTGTGTGTGTGTGTGTGTGTGTGTGTGCAATGAAATTATTTGAGATAGGGAAATGGAGAAATTGGTTCAAACAATTGAAGAACCACTGTATTATAACTTTCACATACTCCCGATTCCATATGCCATTCTGAGAAATAAAATATACGGTCTGTAGAAAAAGAGTGATCATAATGACTTAATGACCATTACCAACAAAATATTAATCTATTGCAGGCTGCTAAACTTTATGGTTTGGGAAAAAAAGAACAGTCAGGATGAGATAAAGAAAAGGAAACTTACTTCAGCAGATGGAGGAATACCAGAACATAAAGGAGACAGCAAAAATAAGACAAAATAAAAAATAGAAGAACAGCAAGGAAGAGAACATTTATAGAATTTAGATTAGTGAACTTAATTTACAGGTAATCCTTCACTTATGACTGTTCATTTAATAATGGATCAAAGTTACGACAGCTTTGGAAAAGGTGACTTATGACCTGTTCTACCTGTACTTTCACTTACAAACCTTGCACTACCCCTTGGTCACGTGATTGCAACTTGAATGCTTGTAACAGGCTCGCATTTATGACCGACTGCAGTCTCCTGAAGAGGATTTGTGACCTTACCAGATAGCAAAGTCTATTGACAAGCAAAGTCAATTGGGGAAGCCAGATTTTTTTAACAACTGATCATGTGATGAAGTGATCATGAATTGTGACTTGTTTTTGCTGATTTCTGTCATTGGAAAAGGTGGATTTAACAACTGCCTGGGCCACTTAATGACTGCCATAAAAATTATCGTAAAATTGGGTCCAACTTAATGTATGACTCCAGTGACTTACAATGGAAATTCTGGTCTCAATTCTGGTTGTATTTAGTCACCTCCTCGCCTTCCTATGTTTTCCTCTTCTTACATATAGGATATTGACATCTGGAAATGTACAGGTAGTCCTTGAGTTACGACTAGAATGAACAGGCTCAAAATGGTCATGTGCCCAATCCAATTTTACAACCATTTTTTGCAGTGGTTTGTTAAGAGAATGCTATGGTCATTAAGCAAATTCTCAAGGACAATCTGTGCCTAGGATAACAGAATGTTTGTATACCACACATCCATAATTAGTATAAAACTCACCACATTTGACTCTATTCTATTTCTCAGTTCTTGCTGAATCCTTTAGTAAAATAGTGATTCATTACATAGTACATAATCAAGACTCTGAATTAAATCATTGTGAATTTAAAATACTATCTGCCTCATGCTCTTTGCTTGAGTAGGCTGAGAAATGATTAGACGTTAAAACTTACCAAATTATAATCTTCCCTCTGAGTGAAAGAACAAAATATGCAGAACCAAATATGTATGCTACTCAAGTCATATAGAAAAGGAAAGAATTATACCATTGTTTCCCTTCCCATGTGGCCTATTTTTCTTCTATTTAAAATAAAATGCTGAACGATTTATTTGTTTAAATGAAATTTAGGAAGATAATTGTGAAGTATCTCTTTTGTTTCTGTGGACAATAAATAAACATCAGCCTACTAATGTTGACTGAGAGTAGGTGGTTACTTACAAGTGGAATATAAGTGGAAAATCCAAGGTAATTCTTGCAAATCAAAATCACACAAACTTACTGGGTTCTGTTTAATAGCACTAATTCTGTCTGTCTTAATTTGGAACAGAATTGGTGGGCTAAATGCACATTATTATTTGCTTATCAATGTTCTGCAGAGTCTAGGTTCTTGCATTGTAGACCTGTTTCTTGATAGCTAGTTTGCTGCTAACCTCTGTCACGAGCCTGTGAAAATTAAAAATTAGTAGCACAGCAATGTCACTTTTATACCAATGTATTTGTTTGAAGGTTCAGGCTCTGCAGCGGATTACCTTTCATTTCCTATTCACATTTATTTTGCAGTCCACATATTTGTGAAGAAATCCCAGTGTTTTTATGCCAAGTATAGAATTCAGTTACTTTAGTGGATAGATGGAAGCCAGGGATTAGAAAGTGAAATCTTTGCTGGGGAACTGAAACTTTTGGAGAGAAAAAAAAATGGAAAGAAAAGCACAGGAAAGAGCAGAAGCAACAAGCAAAAAGGTAAAAAAAGCTAGAGTGCGTTTGTATTTGTGGTTTTTTTTCCCATTGAAGACAAATGATAAATGGTCAAAGAGGGGAGCAAATTGTAAATGAGCATTGTATGCAAATGAATGCCCCATATTAAATTACTGTCAGGGAAGTTAACAGAAATTCTGTTTTCAGTTGTTACGAACCTGGAAACTTTTATACCGCATCCCACAGATCTTCATTAAATATGCTTTTAACTGGAGGTCCCTTATATAAGCATCCCATATTAATGATACTTGAAGAGCAGTGTGGGGGCCTAGTGATGAAAATGCTCGCCTCAGAGTCAGAAGGTTGAGAGTTCAATCCTAGGTAATGGCAGATGTTTCTCTCCCAGAGAGTAAAGAAAAAAATATCTGTTGCAAACTCTGCCTGGCATTATGAAGGGCAGTAAACAATCAGCTCCATCCAGTTGCCCTGACTCTACCCCAAATTAAGGAATGACAGGGTCCTAAACAGAGAGTTAATGATATTTGAACTTTACTTATAGTTGCTGCTTAATTTCAGGTCCCTGGTTTGACATGTATCTTCAGGCACGGGAACCCGTTATTCTTAACTTCAATCCATTCATGGCTTTAAGTCCTGACCCCAAACCTGAATACAACGATCAGCTTGTGAAAGCCACCAACGTGACTGTTGCTGCTTTACGTTTCTTGAAGACTCTTAGGGCAGGCATCTTAGAACCAGAGGTCTTTCATCTGAACCCGTCCAAGAGTGACACTCCAGGGTTCAAAAAGCTTATTCGATTTGTGCCTTCTTCTCTCTCATGGTTTGGTGCCTATATGGTGAATGCCTACCCACTAGACATGTCACAATACTTCAGACTTTTCAATTCCACCCGGCTGCCTAAACCCAAGAAAGACGAGCTGTTTACAGATGAGCATGCCAAGCATTTACTGGTGCTTAGAAATGGCCACTTCTATGTGTTTGATGTGATAGACCAAAATGGCAATATAGTGAAACCATCGGAAATTCAAGCCCATTTAAAATTCATCCTTTCAGACAATGCTCCAGTTCCAGCATTTCCTCTTCCTTATCTAACTACTGAAAATCGGGATACCTGGGCGACTCTGAGGCAGGAACTCCTTGACAATGGCAACAGGGAGGCCTTAAGGAAAGTGGATTCGGCCATATTCTGCCTGTGCCTTGATGATTTCCCAATTAAAGATGTCGACCATTTGTCTCGTACTATGCTCCATGGCGATGGCACGAACAGGTGGTACGACAAATCATTTAATCTTATTTTAGCGAAAGACGGCTCTGCAGCAATTCACTTTGAGCATGCTTGGGGAGATGGTGTGGCTGTGCTTAGGTTCCAAAATGAAGTCTTTAAACACAGCACTGAGACTCCTGTCGTTACTCCTCAGTCTCTGCCGGCTGCCTGTGATTCACACGGAGCTGTAGAGAAGCTGAATTTCAAACTGAACGATGCCTTAAAAGAAGGAATCACCAAAGCCAAGCAAAATTTTGATGCCACTGTGAAAACACTGACGCTGAAGGCCTTCCAATTTGAAAGAGGAGGCAAGGAATTCATAAAGACCCAGAAACTGAGTCCCGATGCCATAGTCCAGCTTGCCTTCCAGATGGCTTTTCTTAGGCAATATGGACAGACAGTTGCCACCTATGAATCTTGTAGCACAGCAGCATTCAAACACGGTCGCACTGAAACGATCCGGCCTGCTTCGGTTTACACAAAGGCGTGCTCAGAGGCACTAGTCAAGAGGCCGTCCAAGCACAATACTATGGAGCTACGCCAGATGATCACCGAGTGCTCCACGTATCATGGTCAACTCACAAAGGAAGCTGCTCTGGGTTAGTGATCTTCCTCCTTGCTTTCGCTTATATTGATGACAGTCCTTTTCTTAACATTTGAATTTCCTATGGATAACTTGTGTTCACAAGTGTGTGTGGAGCAATACAACTTTTTTTTAGTACGTGTTTCCCTGAAAATAAGACCCTGTCTTATATTTTTTTGAACCCTGAAATAAGCGCTTGGCCTTATTGCCATGTGCTCAAAAGCCTGATTGGGCTTATTATCAGGGGATGTTTTATTTTGGGGGAAACAGGGTAATTTAATCCAATTTCAAAATGTCATTTAGATGTGTTGAGTTCATTGATTGATTGATTCAGTTTAGATCCTGTCTCATTCCCTAGGAGGCTCATGACACTACAGTTATGTACCGAGATTACAAAATACTTCAATATAATATTTTGAGAAGCAAAAGTTATGCAAATTGGCAGCATGCCCTCCTCACTACCTGTTTGGATTGTTCCAGGTGCAGTGCAACATACAGCTGCCTGCAAAGACCATCCCCAAGCTACCACTGCTTCAGTACAGAACAGCTTGTGTGTTATCTGGCGCACAATACCTACCTTAACTGGTAGTTCTAATGACCATTATTGGAACTGACAATTTGGTTATTAAGCGAAGTCAAATTGCAACTGTACTTATGGTCTTACTTCAGTTTTTCTTGGCTTTGTAGACCCGTGAAGGTCATAAATGCAAGGGTTGGTTGCAAAGTTACTATTTCATGACTGTTATAGCTGTGAAAGTTGTTAAACAAGACAGTTGCTAAATGAGGACTACCCGTATTGATTTTGAAGGCTCTGCACTATCTGCCAGGAGGGTACAATTCAAAGTCTTTGTGTTTTTAATTAGGCTGTACACCGCCCTGAGTCCTTCGGGAGAAGGGCAGTATAGAAATAAAATAAATAAATAAATAAAAGTGCTGGTTTCGTCCCACGTATAAAGCTCTTTATGATTGGCACTTAGGTGTGTTCAGGAATTCCCTTTCCAATTGAGGTTGACCCATTTTGAGATATTCATCCTGGAAGAAACTGCTTATGGTGCCTCACCTTATAAAAGTGGGGGCGTGTGTGGATGGGACTAAGAACAAGAAGTGCTCATTTTCACATTTTCAGAAGATACTTCACTTTGGTGTATCTTCCTTCTGGAATTGACATCATTGCTAGTAGCTTTTTTGGAAACAGATTAAAATTGAATTATTGTAGAATAACCACCTCTGGGAGGTTAATACATATTTCTTTATAAAACATATACACTACTTCAAACCAGATGGTCTCCAGGCAATTTAGCTATATATCATACTATACCATACTACTATATCATATAATACAAATAAAACAATTAAAAAATAAGTATATTAATATAGTAAATCTAAATCCTACATGATTTCAGAATCAGTTCTGAAACTCCCTCTGGAAAAATAAACCCTTTACGATTTTTAGAAAGCAAAAGATGTTGCTTGTGTTTTATTGCTGCTGCTTTAATTTTTATACACTGGTATCCTTAACAGGAGCATATTAATCATTATATTGATACTGTTGCTTAGCACCAGCAGTCACTGGGTAATTAATAACTTTGAATAACATTAATAACAAAGAATAACATTTCAGATGGCATAAAGATTTCTGGGCTCTGAAAGATATTAATATAGCACTAGCAATAGCACTTAGACTTATATACTGCTTCAGGATGATTTACAGCCCTCTCTAAGAGGTTTACATTGTCAGCATATTGCCCCCAACAATCTGGGTCCTCATTTTACTGACCTCGGAAGAATGGAATGCTGATCCAACCTTGAGCCAGTCAGGATCGAACTGCAGACAGCTGGCAGTCAGCAGAATTAGCCTGCAGTACTGTATTCTAATCACTGCCCCACCACAGCTCTTATATAGTGGTGGAATTTATTTAAATAAATTATTTTAGTGCTTATTTAAATAAGATCACATAACCTTTTTTTTTTTTTACCACAATGGTTTTAATTTTGTGAAACAAATTAAGAGCAGCCTGTCATGTTTGACTTTGGAAGTGGCATAAAATATGATTTAGACACAAGTAGTGACTTTTTCAGAGCCACTCACTGTTGTATTTTTCTTGACAGGTCAGGGATTTGATCGTCACCTTTATGCACTACGGCGTGAAGCAGAATCCCAAGGAATTTCTTTGCCAGATCTTTACAAGGACAAAGCTTATGCCCTAATTAACCACAACATTCTCTCCACAAGTACTTTGAGCAGCTCAGCCGTATTCCTGGGTGGATTTGGGCCAGTGGTGCCTGATGGATTTGGCGTAGCTTATAGTATACACGATAACTGGATCGGGTGCAACGTTTCTGCTTATCCATCTAGGAATGCACCAGAATTCCTGCAGTGTGTGCACAAATCACTGGATGATATTTTTGATATTTTAGAAGGGAAACAAATTAGTAATTAAGATAGATCAGGACTGGCTTTCTTAAATGTGTGACATAACAAACTTCCTTTGGCTCAAGGTTAATGTTTTAGCTGGACCATGACCTGTTTATCCTTTTTAAAAATAACAGATTAAGTTCTGGAGAAAAAAAAGAAAGAATGTAAATAGGGTTAAAGAGCCGGCCCACTGGATTTTTACATTTGTCATGATTAAGTTGTTACACTGATTTTAATGCCTGTTCTCCAAATATGATTAAGGCCAGCTCCAACTCAGGGAGTGTAAACGGACTTCCAATTGTAAAAAAAAAAGTGCTGTCTTTATTATCTATCAGCCAATAGAAGTTCTTGCAGTATAAGACTGTTTGATACATCACTTGAGTATTCTTTGCTAATATATCAGAGGTGGGTTTCAGCAGGTTCTGACCAGTTCTGGAGAACCGGTAGCGGAAATTTTGACTAGTTCAGAGAACTGGTAGTAAAAATTCTGACTGGCCCCGCCCACATCTATTCTCTGCCTCCCAAGTCTCAGCTGATCGGGAGGAAATGGGGATTTTGCAGTAACCTTCCCCTGGATTGGGGAGGGAATGGATATTTTACAGTATCCTTCCCCTGGAGTAGGGTGGGAATGGAGATTTTACAGTATCCTTCCCCTGCCACTCCCACCAAGCCACACCCATAGAACTGGTAGTAAAAAAATTTGAAACCCACCACTGTAATATATGTGTTTGATCAATTTTTAAATATACACAAACTAATTGTATCAAATATAGGAATAATGCTTGAGTGACATTTAGATAGCAATACCCCTTTTGCGAGATCTTGTGTTAAAAGATAATCCAATATTATAGATTTATTTTTGTAAAAGGAAAGAAATCTTGACTAGCATGCTTGTTGGAGCAGAAATGTTCACATCCTTCCAGAGTTCTGCCTTGTGACACTCAAGTGAAACTTTTGGAATCCTTACAACAAACAGCTAAAAGAATATTCAGTAAGGCAAGCAGCAAATTTACCAAAGAAGAAGAAGAAAAAAAAATCCTGAATGTAAAATGAAGGATTTTTCTCCATCTAGTCTCTTCCTTCACCAAAGATGGAAGAAAATGGAGAAAAATATTCAAAGGGAAAAATCTTGTAAAAATGCCCATTTTCTGTGTCTAGTAAACCAAAGTTAACAACTGCAGAGAATGATAGAATTGTGTAATTATAAGTGAAACTCTAGCTGAGACATTGGTCAGCAGGCATGGTGTTCATTGTAACTGAAAAAATGATACAGGATGCACAGTGTAGAAAAAAAAATCTCTCCCCAAATAAATGGGGTGGAAGTCGTAAAATGACTACTGTCAATGACTACTTCAGCTTCAACCGCAATAATACATGGGCAAACAATAGATACAAACTCAAAGTAAACTGCTTCAAACTTGATTGCAGAAAATACGAGTTCAGCAACAGAGTGGTCAATGCCTGGAACTCACTACCTGACTCTGTTGTTACATCCTCAAACCCCCAAAACTTTAACCTTAAACTGTCTACCGTGGACCTCACTCCATTCCTAAGAGGTCTGTAAGGGAGCGTGCATAAGCGCATCGGCATGCCTATTGTCCCTATCCTACTGTTCCCATTTATTTTTACTCATTTATTATGTATATACTTATACCTGCTTATACTTCTATGTTTATATGTTATGTTCTTACTTATACTTGTTTTCTCATACATGCTTGACAAACTAAATAAATAAAAATAAATAAATAAAAATAAAATAAAATAGCACACACGAAGGAATAACATGTAACATCTATATCTGCTCTGAAAGCTTAAAGGAAGATAATGCAGGTAGTCCTTGACTTACAACCACCTGGGGGCCAGGATTTCCATTGTTAAGCAAGGGGGTTGTTAAATGAGTCGCACCTGATTTTACATTTTTTGCTATGGTTAAATGAATCACTGCAGTTGTTAAGTGAATCACATGGTCATTAATTGAAGCTGGCTGGTAAGGTCGCAAATGGTAATCACGTGATCTTAAGATGCTACAACCCTCATAAATACATGCCAGTTGCCAATACCCAAATTTTGATCACATGACTGTGGGGAATGCTGTGATGGCCGTAAGTGTGAAGACCAGTCATAAGTCATTTTTCCCCCAGTTCTGTTGTAACTTCAAATGGTCATTAAATGAATGGTTGTTAAGGACTACCTGAAATACCAGTCTGATTGAGCTTCCAGCTGAAATGTATCCTGAAAATTTTCTGTTGAATAAATGTGACACATTTTATATGTATGTCATGGAGATTCTGCCATCCAGGTCATGGTTGTCCTAAAGGTGCTTTTCAAGAGACAACTGGACTTTGTTTTTTCTTTGAAGACATTTCACTTCCAGCCAGAGCTGAGAAGCTTCTTGAATGAGAAACAAGACATCTTCAAAGAAAAACAAATCCAGTTGCCTCTTGAAAAAACACCTTTGGGACATTTTATGTGAATATACATCTGTCTGATGTAGACAAGCAGTTCTTCCCTAGCAGTAGCTTATTTTCAGACTCTAGTTAAAAGCATCTACTCTTGGGTGCGGGGATGTCTGCATGCATTGTCATTCATGTGGATTACAATGTTTTCAGTTGTCTCCTCTCTTTTTGGAGCAGTGTGGTGGCTCAGTGGTTAAGACGCTGGGCTTGTTGGCTGGAAAGCCGGCAGCCCAGGTTCAAGACCTGAGTGTCAAGTAATAGGGTGAGTTCCCGTCCTCATCCAAGCTCCTGCCAACCTGGCAGTTCGAAAACATGTGAATGCAAGTAGATAAATAGGTACTACTTTGGTGGGAAGGTAACAGCACTCCGTGGCATCATGCTGGTCACATGACTGCAGAAATGTCTTTGGATAGCATTGGCTCAATGGCCTTGAAATGGAGATGAGCACCGCCTCCTATAGTCGGTAATGACTACTGGAGGGAAATCTGCAGGGAATCCTTTACCTCTCTTCATTGATAGTACATTTAAGGGTCACCCCCATCCTTACAATTCATCATTAAATATACAATAAAGTATATTTAACTTAGAAGCATCCAACACATTATTTTATTTCTAAGATACTCAGAATAATTTTGCTTTTCCTGATATATCAATGTATACTGTCTGCCTCTGTTAAAAATGCTACACCTACAGTGCTATATGTATCTATGTATTCTGAATAAAGCTCATTGGAATGGGATGAATTCCCATTCTTACTTGTTATGAGAAATGGAACTGAAATGTGAATTCTCAGTATATTAAATGGATATCTATTTGTAGACTGTTTTGTTCCAAGATAAGAACTGTGGTGTTAATTGCATGTATTTTTTCAGACAATAAAATAACAGCATGGATCTGGGCAAAAAATATCAAAAGTAATCATTTTATTTTGACTTTTGTGGATACAATTTAAATGACTTTGCTTAACAGAAAATTTTTGTTTTACCATAGAAGTTAACATTTGACAAACTTATGGGTAACTTCATAGATGCCAACAGATTCCTTTATTTTTTCATCATAGTCAGTCCAGTCCTGTAGAGTGAAACATGCCGTCTTAGCTCTATACAAGCTTTAATGAAGATACAGTATTATTGTTTCCAGTTAAGATGTAGGCGGTTGCTTGGAGGATAGCCTGCATTTCAGCAATATCTTCCCCCTCTCCCCATTTTATATATTAGGCAAATCCTAATATATTAGGCCAAACCAAATATAATTTGATTTCAGGTTTTTTTCATATATTTAAAAGAAAAAGGTTTTAGCATGTCTTTAAATTTGAAGAGATCATCCTCAATCTGGATGATTATCATGCCAAGAACGGACCTTGAAAATGCAATTTATAGTTGAGGAAAACTATCATTGAATGAAAAAAAATATCTCCAAGAAGATTAGTTGAGATTATTTTGCTCTGAGAAGGCCAAATTAGAAGGAGTGCTTGCAACATAGGATTTCTAACATTGTTATTGAGACAATCCTCAACTTACAATTCTTTAACAAGGGTTTGAAATTAAGACAGCCTTAGAAAAAGTGATTTATGATTGATTCTTGAAGTTATGACTCTCCTACCCTGATTGCAAGTCAGATGATTGAAAATGAGCTTGCATTTATGCAATTTGTACTTTCCTAGCTGGCTTCCAACAAGCAAAGTCAATTGGGGAAGCCAGATGTGCTTAATGATGGCATGAATTACTTAATTCATTAATATGCTTTGCTTAATAACAATGGCAAAATGATAATAAAATTGGGTACAGTCACAGGATGATTCATTTAATGATTCATTTAGTGCCTGAAATTCTGATCTTAATTGTGGTTTTAAGTCAAGGACTATCTGTACTTCTGTCCTGACAGCAGCCAGGTTCAAGCAGAGGTTTAGGAAAGAAGAGAAAATATCTACTTTCTAGATATTTTGAACTACAATTCTCATTAGCACATTTGTTATCCAAAACATCTAGGTACCAAACTGTTTTATCTCAAACTAGTGTCTGGAACAGAGATGTACGATATTTGATAACCATATTTCTGGTATGGATAATTTAATTTTTAAACTATGATTTCAATATGAAGATCCTGTTCTAACACAATGGAAAGGCATCAGGCTAGACGTGTCTAATATAAAAGATATAATATATCCTTGGACCTTTAAGAATTGTCCTGCTTGCCCAGTCTTTCTTAGTTTCTCATTTAACAAGCTGCAATTAATCAGCATAACTTGGATAGCTGTAAAATTGGACCAGGATATTTTGTGAGGAGTAACTATTAATCCTTAGATTCAATGTTAGCGTCAGATTGGTGATACCTTCAAATACCAGTAACAGGGAATAGAAGTAGGAGAAAGGAGTATCTCTTCCTTCTGCCAGGAGACATCTGGTTGGCCACTATGAAAATGTTGATCTAAGGTGGACCTTAGGTGGTCCAGCAGCACTAATCTTATATGAGCCTGTTTTAAGATTTGTACGCTATAGACCGCAAGGTTATTTGAACCACAAATATGAAGACTCTACCTTTTCCAGTAAGTTGATTTCATCGAAAGATGTGCCAGACTCAGCACCATTTGCAGCAAACCCTGCCTACAAATAATTTAAAAGCACCTGTTAGAGACACATTATATCTGAGGTAAAATACTGTTCTTTATCTGCATCTATGCAGCTACAACACCTGTAGTGGATCAGAATTCCTGTCTGATTTAACACCAACCCTTCATCCAAACAAATTCAGCAGGTTCCCTGCTACATATGAGCAATAAAGCCATAATCAAGAATTCCAAAGTTAAGATACCTAACAATGTTTTCCCTATCTTGTGATTCTAATTATGTGTGTTTAAGTTTGCACAGAACAAACTTCAAATCACATTAATGTTTAGGTGCAAACTTACCAGCTGTTAACTCTTTATCCTATGGTTGTGTGAACTAGCGCCAAAAGAAACTGTGTGCTCAAGAACAAGTTATGCAATCACTTGGGTTTAACAGGCAGGCCTTTCAAAAAAGAGACTCTTGAGAACTTGCCTGTGGTTGAAAATCCACGGGTTCAAGGCCACGACACTCAAATTCCACTATTGTCTTAAAGGTCTCATTGTCTTCGGCCTAGAATTCAGCCAAAAGAATACTTAGCTTTTTTTTAAACAAAAGAATAAAGACAAGCAGGAAGAAAGAGAACATGTTTCTCAAGACACAGTGTAATATTACAAGGAATATAATGTATGTTGTTTGTAAATCTCTAGAGAAAATTTCAATTAAAATAGGGAAAACATTCAAGCATGAATGACAGAAAAATAATCAATCCCTGTATATATTGCTGCCTTTAAGTCAAATAACGGGAAATGGAATTTCTGCTAAAAGTTCACCCTTTCCATAAAATACAAATAAAATGAACTTACATTATAAGGCTTAATTGTCTGACTTAAGATATCTGAAAAAGAAAAGAAAAAAGAAAAACATATCATTGAAGCAAAGAAAGGTATAACTCACAGGTTACAGAAATATTTAGATATGAATGGATTCAGGGTCAGTCATGTGCTAGATTTCACCTTTAAAATTTAGTTTTAAATGTTTAAGCACTATGTCATACTAGATGCATTTCAGCAAGTCATAGCATGTGGCCTACCTAATCTAGGCTCCAAAACTAAGCAGGGTTGGGACTTTTAGGCCAGGGGTCCCCAACGCCTAGGCCGCAGCCCATTGGTGGGCTGCAGCCTGTTCGGAACTGGGCCGTGTAAGTAGTGGGGGAGTGAGCACACATCCACAAAGTTGCATTTCTGAAAGTGGCACACATGAGCATGCGTGAAATCATCCCCTCCCCCCACCCCACTGCCGCCAGTCCACTGAGCCAGAAAGTTTGGAGACCACTATTTTAGGCCCTATTGGGGAGTCAGACAGCAGAAACAGGCTCAACTCAGGGGTGTCTTTAGGTATCTGTTAAAAAAACATCTAATCTGTATAGTCTAGGTTAATTTCCTTAGAAATATTTGTGCCCTTTGTAATATTCTCTACTAACAATAAGGATAATACTGGTCAGTTGTGACACATTTGGACCAGTTTTACTCTAAGAGGAATGCAGAACACATATAGATACATTTGCATTACATAAATATTGGACGCAACAAATACTGTCCTTTCCCCCCATTGCCACTGCCAGCAACAACGAATTTTCAGGCTAACCCATCTTTCACAATAGAGATCTGCTGATTTGCTGATTTTTGTTTGGCATAGCTTGTTTTATGGAGAAGATTATTTCTTTCTCCATTCTGCAAAAGATGTATAGGCAATTATAGAGGGGAAGAAGGAGTGGGAGGAATGTTTTCCTATTAGTTTAATACAGTATCGTAACCTGAGTTCTCTATCTAGGGCGGGGGTGTCTGATTGTGGCAACTTTAAGACTTGTGGACTTCAACTCCCAGAAATTGAAGTTGAGTTCACCTTGATGAGGAATTCTGGGAGTTGAAGTCCACAGGTTTTAAAGTTGCCAAGGTTGGCCATCCGTAATCTAGGGGATAGATGTATAAAAAACTCCCTTACCTATTGAGTTTTCTCGGGAACACAACTTGCATTTCTGCACCATTGTGGCACTTCCCCGGCCTCCTTTCAGAGGATGGCTGTCCTAAACAGAATTTCAAAAGAAAACATCAGCCGCCAATCTCAAGATCTCCAGTGGAGAGGACACTACAATAAATAAAGTCCTTTTTCTCAAGATCCATATCTTCTAATGAAAGTCTCTTTTCTTTTAGATTAAGAATGTTATGCAAACACTTAGCAAAGTTAGCAGGGAATACAGTAGTTCAGAATACTTATCTAACAGAGATATTTTTGCTAAACATCTTTAGCAAAATCAGAGACATTATTAAATCTTTTGTTTAAAGAAAAATCTAATTTGCACTGCTAATTAAGTTTACAATCCTAATTAAGTGATTGAACTATATATGTGACTATAAAAATATATTGCCAATGGAAATATTGGTATTAAAAGAATATAGGTGAGGAATCTTTGCATATTCTCCCATGAAATAAATAAAATATCCATATTATTTAGAAAAATGAGCAGAATTCTAGAAATAATGATAGTGAATGCTTGCATATAATCAAGACTCATATAGTCAATACCCTAGATACAATCTAGAAATAAGGTGCTTTCCAATTCTAATTTCCTAGAAATGTTTTGGATAGCTCCTGTCACTGACAGGACAAGTGTGATATCATAAACTTCATGGTGCCACTGCCCAAATAATATGAATTATATACCATAAATCATTTGCATCATGACATGCCTGGTGCCAACTATATCTTATATAATTTGTTTTGAAACTTACCATTAATCGTAGATATTGCCATTTTTCTGAAACCTCACTACAGTTTCCACATTTAAGCTGGAAAATAAAAGGAAAACAAATGCAAACTAAATATATTGAATGGAATCCAACAACACAATAATCAAATGTTTAAATTTAAACATTTAAACATCTGGATGGAGAGGTGTTTGGGGTTTTGGGCCAAATGATGGGGAAAGACCATCTTTGTTTAATTAATGGAATTGGCCTCCCATATTCAGAGATGGTTTACAATTTGGGGCCCTCCTAAAGTCATAGCTCCTCCTCAATTAACAAGTGGTAGCTGTGGCTTGGAGGGCTTTTGCACAAGTACCTCTTCTGCCATAACTGCATCCATTCCTGGCTTACAAGGTCCTTCTCAGACACTAATATCTTAACAACCTTCCCTTTAAATTCCTGTGGTGTCCTTTTACATAGGAATGCCTTTAAAGAACATTCAGAAGCTGCAGCTGGTACAGAATGGTCAGTTATTGGTATATTCAGACATAGGGAGTGGGGCATTGTTTGGGGAGCTACAACTGTTACTAAATTGATTCACGGGTGGGGATGTCACTTTTAAAGCCATATTTGTCTCTGGCTTTAGTCACTGCCTGAGATATTCTGCCCACCTCACCAGATCAGAGTCAACTTCTTCTTGTAGAAGATTATTTATTTATTTATTAGTCGCATTTTTATGCCGCCCAACTCCCGAGGGACTCTGGGCGGCTAACAACAAAGAATAAAACAATGTGAACAATATCCCATACAAAAGTTTAAAAAGAAAACATTAAAACCCATACACTCCAATTCGTGGCCGGGTCTCGCAGAATCACCGTAGCGAGATCAACAACCTCAGGCCTGCCGGAAGAGCCAAGTTTTCACCGCTTTCCGGAAGGCCAGTAGGGTGGGGGCAGTCTGGACCTCAGGGGATAATTGGTTCCAGAGAGCCGGGGCAGAGAAGGCCCTCCCCCGCGGGCCCGCCAGCCGACATTGTTTAGCTGACGGGACCCGGAGGAGACCGACTCTGTGGGATCTTACTGGTCGTTGGGAACTATGCGGTAGAAGGTGGTCTCAAAGATAGCCTGGCCCTGAGCCATGTAGGGTTTTAAAGGTAATAACCAACACCTTGAATTGCTCCTGGAGACCGATAGAGAGCCAGTGCAGCTCGCCGAGAATTGGTGTAATGTGGGTGTATCTAGGTGCACCCACAATAGCTCGCGCGGCTGCATTCTGGACAAACTGTAGTCTCCGAACACTTTTCAAGGGTAGCCTCATGTAGAGCGTGTTGCAATAGTCCAACTGTGAGGTGACAAGGGCATGAGTGACTGTGAGGAGAGCCTCCTGATCCAAGTAGGGTCGCAATTGGTGCACCAGACGAACCTGTGCAAAGGTCCCCCTAGCTACAGCTGTCAGATATTGTTCCAATCTCAGCTGTGAGTCTAGGAAGACACCCAAATGGCTTATCAAGACCAGAAGGTCCCATTAAAGCTGCTAAATAGAAATCAGCAAACAATATTACAATAGTGTGATGGGGCAGCTGAAGAAATTTCCAGGAACTATACCAGCTATGGTGAACCAAAACACAATTTGCAACACTACCATAATCTAACAGCCTAGGCTCATTCAGTGGCTTTGATTCAAAGCCACTGCGTTGCACCCAAACATTAATATGTAGATGTTGAAGCGGTATGACTGAGGATGGCTAGAACCAACATGCCTACTGCCCCTGTCCTGCTGTCTCCATTTATTTGTATCCTTATCCATTTATACTTATATCTGTTATCTTATACGTGTTTGACAAATAAATAAATAAAAGTAACAAACTGGATATGAAGAGAATATCGTTATGCATTTGCTTTTTAAAAGATAGGTCACTTTATAATCCATGCCACCGGGCTAACCTTGGCTAATTTACTTAATTCATGGGTGTCCCCAAGGTGCTTTTTCAAGGGGCAACTGGACTTTCTTGGTTTTTCTTTGAAGACGTTTCGCTTCTCATCCAAGAAGCTTCTTCAGCTCTGACTGGATAATGGGGAATGGAAGCGAAACCACGACCTGGATGACTGAGAACCTCCACAGAGATTTAATCATGTGTGTGTGTGTGTGTGTGTTGCATTTTGCGGGTGTCAGCCTGTTTCCCGAAGACCTACCTTCAGATACCATCGAAAATCCTCCCCCACCGGCCGGAGGTTTGTAATGTTTTCTAAAGTCGCTTTGAACTGCAACCCGATTTTCTGCAAGGAAGAACGTCACCCGAAACCGGTTAGAGGCGCTGGGAAGACAATCCCCGCCAACCTCAAGGCACGCCCGGGCGAGCCGCCTCTTCTTACCCCCATGGCCCGAAGGGGAACGAAAGGAGTCGAGCTTCAGGAGAGCCGAGCCGAACCGAGCCGGGTCGGGCAGAAAAGATCTCTGCTCCTCCCTTCCCGCGAACCAAGGCACGCGAAACTCCACAGATCTCAAAGCGAAATCGACCGCGGACGCCAACTGGGCAGGCGCTCCTCAACCTTCGCGAGACTTGAGTTTCGCCTTATCCGGGGAAACGGAGGGGAGAGGCGGAGGGCGGCCCTCAAAAGGGGCTGGGGGGGCAGTTATCCCGCTTTAAAGAGACCCCTTGTGATCCCAGAACCCGTGATCGGCTTCTAGAAGCGATCATTTATCTCGATCCACACATGCATCCCTAAAGGCAGGCCGCCTCAGTTTTGTATTCGATTCGCGAGGCTCGATGGCAAAACGAGGCGTCGATTGAACTCGGTTTAACTCCGCTGGCGCCCCGAAATAGGTTTCGAGGGCGGGCATTTTGGGACTATTCTGGAGTTTTTTTGACAGTTGGGTCTGCAAAAATCCGGCCGATCAAATGCTGCCCTCTAACGGCAGCCTGACGTTTTGCAGCGTGGAAGCGGGAGCCCTGCCGGACCTTTAGATCAATTTCTCAACCTTGATAGCTTGACATCCAGGTCATGGTTGTCTTTGAAGACGTTTCGCTTCTCATCCAAGAAGCTTCTTCAGCTCTGACAGGATAGTGGGGAATGGAGTATAAATCCTTCCATTCCCCACTATCCTGTCAGAGCTGAAGAAACTTCTTGGATGAGAAGTGAAACATCTTCAAAGAAAAAACAAGACCAGTTGCCTCCTGAAAAAGCACCTTTGGGATAGATCCGTGAAGGTTACAGTACTTGAAAGGCGATTCCACAGTTCAAAAGACTGTTAAGCTTTAAACAGGGAACTGAAGAAATTTAAGGGTGCCTTTGGCTGGGATAGTATGCTTTTACCTAGCTTTTCTTCTAGGTCAGGGACCTCCAAACCTGGCAACTTTAAGACTTCTGGGAGTTGAAGCCCACAAGTCTTAAAGTTTGGAGAATCCTAACCTAGGTCATTCCTCCCAACCCTGGGTGGTTTTCAAATGTGTGAATTTCCAATTCCTAGAGCATGGCAGTTGCCATTTGTGTATGTCTGTAATTTGGATGCCACCCATCTTGTAGTCATGCGACTGGTTATCTTCCCCCGACAGTGAGCCACAAATCAAAGTGGAAGAACCAGAATTTTGAAATGCATTGAGTTAGTATCCGCTTTGATACAGGTATTCCTCAACTTACAACAGTTCATTTAGTGATTGTTCAAAGTTTTAATGACACACAAAAAGACTTATGACCATTGTTCATACTTACGACCATTGCAGTATCTCTATGGTCACATGATCAAAATTCAGATGTTTGGCAATTGGTTCATAGTTATGAAGGGTCATATGATCCCCTTTTTCAACCTTCTGATATGCAAAGTCAATGTGGGAGCCAGATTCACTTAACAACTGTGGCAAGGTTGTAAAACAAGGCAAAATTCATGTAAATGTCTCACCTAGCAATATAAATTCTGAGCTCCATTATGGTCGTAAATTGAGGACTACCTGTAACTGGCAGAGCACACATACACACACCTCCAAACAACATTAGATGATTCATGTTATTTAAAGCTCAGGAAAAGAATTTCTGCTATTAAAATTCCCCTTCTAGTGGTGACAGTAGCAAGAAAATTGGCTTTATGCATACAAAACAGTGATCATACACTATTCTAAATTTAGACCACCAGGATTATTGGAAGGAAAAAAGCAAGATTCATTTACTTATAAATAATCCTATATAAGGATACCAATTCATTTAAGTTGTAAACAGTAGCAATGCTGTTATTTTACAAGTACTTGATTTTATTAAAATATACAAAATCAAATCGAAACCAAATACTAGTAGCACACTATGTGTGCATATATCATGCAGATGTGGCACACACTGATTTTTGTGGTCTCTAACACCATTCCCCAGTTTTATGTGAAATGTTACAATCTATCATCTGATCATTGTTTAAACCTTCATTGCCAAAAACAAAAAAAGCCCACCTACTCCTTTCTTTTTTAGGTGCCATATGTAGACAAAACTTGAATATACAATAAATGGGTCAAAGTACTCATTTGATTCAATAGGAAACTTGGAATTTCAAATAGATTATTAAGGCAAAGAAAAAAAAATTGGGAGGAAACTCGACAAGTTGAGGTGATGCTAAGTTATTGATGATTTGGTAAGTTGTTCTAATAAACATATTGAACTATGGCCAGAAACTAGGATGAATGTGGAACTATGTTCCAGTGAACTGCTGCAGATTACTGGCCTCTAATAAACGACAGCAGCACCATTGCTATTTTATTTATCTTATTTTTAACTACTTAATACAAAATAATTATCTAATTCTTATTCCTAGTAAGAATTTGTTACATTAAAAATGCAACCCAATAATGTGTATCACCATAAAATACTGGTCTGTATAGTTGCACCTATTCCTTAAGATATGCAAATATCTTACTTAATCACTTGTTCTGACTTATGGAAACTCTGCTTTCTTCCACTGTATTTCGAAGAGAGCAAAAATCCATGGACATACACAGTTCTTGAACATACTAGTTACTTAACTTTCTTCACAAGAGATGCTAAAAGAATAATTATGTACATATTTAGATGAAAGTGTTGACTCTTGTTATATTACCAATCCCCTCAAGTTCATGCAAACATAAGGAACATAAAACAGCCCATTCCTAAAATATGAATCTTGTTCAACAAAGACTTTCTAAATAAAAAGAAAAAAGTCTTAGTTTTTATTAAATCACTCTGTATAAAAACAGACATATATAAACATTATCCAAGATACGGAATGAAAAGAATCCCACCCCAAAAAACTTTATACAAATTTAGATCCACACAATTTAAATTGGTTTAATCTTGAAATGTAATCCAATGAGACTGAAGACTAAACACTTGAGATCTTGGACGAGATAATAAAACACTCTTAGACCTTCTGGATCCCTGGGGAGCAAAGTACAAAAAAAACACATAGTTAAAAGTAAGAAACTTTTGACATCAAAATCATTACCCTCAGAGAACTTCCAGGCCATCAAAATGTCAAACAACTTTTAAAAGCACCGTGAAATTGTCCTGCCCTCATTTTTCATTTTTAGTAAATAAAAAATACTTTTTAAATACTAAATACTTTAAACACTTTTTAATACTAAAAAAAATACTACAAATTAATGTATTACTAATATGAATTCCTCTAGTTCTTGAACCAGCAGAAACGTATTTAATAACAAGTCAGTGGGGCAATATATATACTGTAAATCGCCGGCATGATGCTTAAATAGTACTTTGTGAATCATTGATCAGGCACACAAAAACAGAAGCCTCTATGGAAATATCCCACCCAAAATGGCCATAGAATGCAATTTGCAGACACTGAAAGGTGGAGGCATGGCCAGAACAATACCAACCAGCCAAGAGGATTTTGGCAGATGCCAGCCCCTTAGACTTCTCTCCCTTGTGTGTTGAGAAAATGGAAACACTTATTTTAAAATGGGAAAAGCTAAAGCCTAATTTATGCTGCTTCCAAAGAGAGTGGGAATTACACAAAATCAGCATAAGGGCATGTGCTTTAAAAATGGAGAGTACAATATCTTCACATCATGATTAGTGGGACACGAAGAAGAGCTCTTATTTTCCACTGAGGTACACTGCATTGTTTATAAAGGCATTCAAAACAAGGCAGCTAGGATACGCTTTCATTGCTTCTGCTCTTCCTGTATCCTAAACTGGTATCATGTGATTGCTGAACTCACAGCTTTGATTCCTCTGATTCCCATTGTCTTGGAGAGATCAAATCACAATATATCAATTCTCTACAATGCTAACCTAATAAATGCAAAGAGGCGACGAACATATTATTCACTCTTCAAACAGCACTTACTTGGACTGATTCACGTCAATAAGAGAACCGATTTTTGATGTTGTGAAAGAGATATGTTCATCCCCAATCACAATTTCAAGCTCCTAGAAATAAATAAAATAAAACAACATACATTTAGGATGGATTACCATATTTATGAAGCTTGAATTTCTGTTCTCATATAACATCCATGATTATTCAAGCCCAAAGCAAGATATTCTACCTGCAAAAAACAAATATTTATATTCAGCTATTTAAGGGGCTGTAGCCACTTCTTAGCAGAAAGAGCAATCTTAACCACATATTTATACTGATGGAGTTAACAAGTTAACATTACCAGAAATGCAAGGTTTATGTTGGGTGGGTTGGATGCAAATAAATAAGACTGGGATTTTTGTTTGTATTTGGGAGATTTTATTCAACTTTACATCTCTTAGCAGTCAAAAGGACCCTACACCCACTTCCTAGCCTAACCTTCCTCCAGATACCTTGGCCTTCCAACTCCAAGAATTCTTTAGTCAACTTAACTATTGCTGGGAATTCTTGAAGTTGCTTCACATATCTGGAGGGGTACCTGATTGCAACTATAACCTCATCTAGATTGATCTCTTACAGAGTGCAGGCTGTGCACAAATATATAGATTTAAAACATCTGTATGATAAATAGAAAATCTACTAACCTGCCGACCAACTCTATCTGGTGGAGGCCACAATGCATCATCTTCTTTTGTAATTTCACTGTCATCAATGATCCTCTTTAATTCTTCCATCACACTTTTATGTACGTAGGCCTAGAAACAGTGTAGAATGTTAGCATGATTCTGCCATTTTTGAAAAAAGAACATAAATGATTCATTTCTCTTCTTTTCCATTTATACAAATATCCATCTGAAGAATTCAGAAGGAAAAAAATCCAGGATGGGTACATTTGTACAATATAGTCAACTGAGAGGGATTTTACATAGAAACTTAAAACAAGTAGCAAATGAATGATTAATTTTCTGCATTCTCAAAATCATGGTCCAAGTAAAGAAATAGTTCTGAAATATCATAAGTTTATTTACTACTCAGATATACTGAAACAGTCCACTTACTTCTTTTCTGATCATGACATCATTTTTGTAATTACTGTTATTTGCATATCTCAGTTTACCTGTTGAAAAAAGATTACACTGAACATTACAAGAAAAGCGTAAACAAAAGAGCATTTCATTTAATTTCAGTTCGCTGCAATATAACATATTGATTATAGTTCCACAAATTAAGCAAAGAACAAGGAAGTGTAAGCAGTTGCACTCAAGCCAGTGAAAAAGGATTACTGGTGCACAGTTTCCTCAAAACTCTTAATTTCTGAGGTCCTTGCTCCCCTTTAACTACTGTAAGCAATGTTTAGTTATGCTGATTCTGCTGTTATTCTAAGATCAAAATTTATAGGTAGGCTTCACT